CAATTATTTGCTTTTTTCGTTGCCATTAATTATGACCAAAAACAAGAGTTGTTATAATTTTATATGAATCAATAGTTTATTCAATGAAATGAGTAAATTAAAGCCAAATTGAAGAAACACATATTTTAGAAGTTGTACATTTATTGATGAATGGAATTCTTTTAAAAAGTATTAAATTTAAGTGGTGTGATAAATAGAACATATAAGTTAGTATTATGACTATTATTTCATATTGAATCACTTCATTTATTCATTTCTATTCTTTCTGCTTGATATGATTCTTCTTTAACAGTTTCTTTCTTTATTTCATTCACTCATTTTGATTTATTCTTTAGTATGTCTTATTAACATTGTGTCAATACCTTCATATCACTTCATCAATCTTTTTCATGGTAAAATGTGTGTTGATACTCTTTTCTATTATATTTACTTTGGTTGGAACTAAATGAAAAACGAATAACGATGTTTTCATATTGTCATCATGTTTTATAAAGATGATTAGATGATGATGCACATTGAAGTTATTTTACTTCATCCAGTTGATTTTGTCTTTCTCACATTGAGATTTTCTTGAGATTTCACAGGTACGTAGTATTTCTTTGTTCTTGTATAATGTGTGACGCATTCTACAACTCTCTTGGAGAATAGATTATTCAATTCGTTTGAAAGGAAATAGCAAAAGAAAAGAAACAACAAGGGGTTAGTGAACAAAGGAAAGATTTACAACTATACAGAATGTCAAAGAAAAGGAGTGATAAGAATAAAAAACTTCAAAGACAAGAAAAAAGAAAAAAAGAATTGTTAGAGAAGAAGAGAAAGTTGAAGTTAAAAAGAGAATAATGAGGAGATTGGAAACAACAAAATGTGGGGAAAAATACAAGAGGAAGAAAGACAGAATAAGAAATAGAAAATAAAGTGAGAATAAAAGACAGAAAGAGGAAAGACAAAAAAGAGGCTAGACGATATCGTCAAAGAAAGAAATATAGCATCAAGAGGGATATTTAAAGAGGGAAGAAAGGACTAATAAAATCAAGAGATGAGTAATAGTCAAACAAAGAATGTTTCAATAGATACAATTAAAGAATTTATGTATCAAGTTTTACTTAAAGTAGGAAGTGATGAAGAGAATGCAAGAATGGTAAGAGATACATTAATTGCAGCTGATTTAAGAGGAATGGATACACATGGTATTCAAAGGTTTAAAACTGTTTATATTGATAGAATTAAAAAAGGAATGATAAATCCAACAGCAAAACCAAGAATTATAAGAGAAACAAATACTACATGTGTATTAGATGGAAATAATGGATTTGGACATGTAAATGGAACAATTGGAATGAAAATGGCAATAGAAAAAGCAAAGAAATATGGAATGGGAATGGTAGTAGTAAGAAATTCAACACATTTTGGAATTGCAGGATATTATTCATTATTAGCAGCACAAGAAGGATGTATTGGAATTTGTGGAACAAATGCAAGATCATCAGTTGCAGCAACATTTGGAGATGAACCAATTCTTGGAACAAATCCACTTGCAATTGGAATTCCATCAGATGAAGCTTTTCCATATTGTTTTGATGGTGCAACATCTATATCACCAACAGGAAGATTTGAAAAATATGTTAGAATGGGAAAAACTGTTGATAAAAGTTGGGCATCAATGAAAGGTGGAAAACCAATTGAAGACCCAAAAGAATTACTTGAAAATTATCCTAAAGGAAAAGCTTATCTTCATCCTTTAGGAGGAAGTGATGAAGTTAGTGGAAGTCACAAAGGTTATTGTTTATCAGAATTCGTTGAAATTATGAGTAGTTGTTTAAGTATTGCAAACTTCTTAAATCACATTGAAGAAGAAAAAGAAAAGTCAGGCAAGTTTTCTTTGGGTCACTTCTTTATTGCAATTAATGTCGAATGTTTCAGAGACTTAAATGAATTTAAGAAAAATGTTGGCGACATTAATCGTACTCTTAGAAACACTGACAAACTCCCTGGTCATGATCGTATTTATACTGCTGGAGAAAAGGAATATGAAACAGAACAAAAACGAAGAAAATTCGGTGACGACTTACCTTTAGTCACTATCAATGAAATGAAGGAACTTTCTTCTTTTTATAATGTCCCTCTTCCTTTTTAATTGATTCTTTTGTTTAAAAGTTG